TCACGTCGCGTAAGATTAGGCACTGCCTCAGCTACCAGCAAGTGCTCGTACCTTGCCAGGCTCTACTTTTTGTCGGGTTTGGGTTTGTAGCACTGGGAGGCCCATCGTGGGAAGCACTGACCAGAAACTCTCAGGTTCTGGAATCTTAATTGGGCTGCGGGTGATGATAACGCTGTGAGTGCAGATTAAATGTAATGAATCTGAACTTTAATAGCTGTTAGATGTGCATTTTTCTGATGTGCAAGAGAATTTAGGTATGAGATTTTGAAGTGCAAAGCATGATCTTCCTGTGCATGAAAAATTCCTGTTTAATTTCTTTTGCATAGGAGCATGTCCCAGCATATAGCGTACATGCTTAGTACCAAGTGACTTTTTTTGGAATGAAATGTCTTTGGACTTTGAAAAATAAAATTGGAATAGGAATTAGAACTTAGTGATTTCCTATTTACAAGTGGCTCCATTTTTTTTACAAGACCTCTAAACATAAAATCATCTGTCTGGGTGCTAGAGGGGAACCCCTGTCGTCACAGAGGTGAAGTGGTTTGCCCACGCTGGGTGAATGCAGTGACAAAGTTGTGCCGTGAGGTCCGGAGTTCTGCTCTCTGTGCTTTAGCAATGAGATGGCGTTATTGTGAGCAACCTACATGCCGATAAATGATTTCCAGACAGTAGGAGAATCAGAATAATTTTATTTTCCTGGCCAGCGTAGAGTTCAAAAGTGTTGCGTTTGCTGTTGTAGCATATTTACAGACTCGATAGCTCTCTCTTAACCAGATCTGCTAGCTGCCACCTCTTGTATACTACTGTGAAAGCAATACTGCTTATTCAAAATCATGTTTAATCAATGTCTTTTGAAATATTGGCCGACATTTTAAACGTGGTCATGTATTAAGACTGCAGGTTGATTTCTTTCTTTTTGGTTGGCTTTTTTTTGGTGGCCTTGTGTTCAACCTGATGTCTCTCTGCCTCCGTTCTGTTTCCCGAGGATAAATGTATGTTCCCTTAAAGCCCTCTGATAAAGCCAAATTTTAGATTCCCTAAACAAACTCGTGTAAAGCCAAGTTCTTGGGATCAACCTGGGTAAATAATACCAGACTGGAGCTAACTTACTTTGTTACTGAAGTGTACCTACTCTGCTGTACTCCAGGGTAGTCATTACCCCTATATCTTTTCTTTATAAATAAATAAAAAAGTATAGAGTAAGCAATCCAGCGCCACGGAAAGCACTGTAACTTTGTGAATTGATCCATTAAAAACACCACCGTATTGTTATTAATTCTCTCGGCATGAAGTCTCTTGAAAAAAACATCACTTTTTTTCCGAAGTACAGCGTGGCTTATGTGCCTTATAACTCAGAACTAACGTGTATCTGAGAATAGCTCGCATTTAGTTACCAGTTAATGATCAGTATCTTGACTGTTACAGCTTTTTGGTGTTATGGAATGAAATGTATAGTTACACATTTCTTCAGCATTATGCCCACTACCACTAACCTGTCATCAGTCTTTTTTTTTATGTTAGGTAGATAATACATATATATATATTTCAGATATAATATGTGTATCTGATAAAATGTGCTGGCCATCTTGGAAGTTAAGACTGGCAAAATTTGTGCTACTGTTTCCAAAGCAGTCTCAGAATAAAAGGCCTTTAAATTGTATAAAAATTCTAAAAAACTACCAATGGTGACTTTCGCTAGTAGGGTGGACCCTTTCAGCATCAGGGCAAGTAGTCGGCTAAATTAGTTCTTTTATAATAAGCACTGTGCAAGCCTCTGGACCGGTTGAGCATGGCATTTAGGACAGACATGACTGACATCTTTTCATTGGAGAGATGTATACAGGTTTACTTATGTACCAAGGTCTGGAATTACTCTGCATTTGCAGGGAGGTGGACTGCTGCATTAATTTCAGGAATATATCCAAATTCAGTGTAACAGGAGTAGTGGCTCTTAGTGTTGTCCTTAAAATGGTTTGCTAATTTCTTGTTAATAAGCAGAGACATGGACGAGCAAGCCATTTCAAGCAACCCAGGAGCGAGGCTGATCTTCCCAAGGGTGTCGAGGCTGGGGCAGCTCAGCACCATGAACTGACAGTGATGGTTAGATGCGCTGCCAGCAGAGACCTTTTGCTGGAAAGATAGGCAAGAAATCGATGGGAACATATCAGCATTTTGAGGGTGCTCTAGCCTCTGGCGGTCTTCTCCATTGCTGTGACAAGTTACTGGAACCACTGGAGAGCCTGGGTATGAACGTGGGCCATGTTTTAGCCAGTCCTCCTTTTTATATGATTGCTATCAGCTGCAGGTAGGAATATGACCAGTTAATCTTTTGTATCATTGCGCAGGGTCGTGTTTTAAAACATTTGCAGTATGATTAGAAGCTTAGGGACCTTACACTACAAAAGTGACAGCTAGCTGGTTCACTCAGAAGGGGAAAACTATAAGCTCCTCACCACAAAAAGCTTCCATTGGAGAACGTGGTGTCCCTGCCAGCTAACCCGTTCAATTCCATTTTTTTCTCAAATGTTTCAACTCTCTGTTCTCAATATTAAAACCTTACCATTGCAGCAAAACCCTCTGTTTGTTACTATAGCTCAACCCAAGCCAACACAGACATTTCGGAGACAAGAGACTATCTTCGGGCTCATGTACTCCAGCACATACCAAGCACAATAAACTAGAAATTACTCGGCTTGGGTTTCTCTCTTTGTGTCTCTCAGACAACTGAAATGTTAAGTGCCACAAGTTCAACAAAGACTTGGAACTCCTGAGGTTCTGCACTTTGTGAAATAAGAACTTTGTAGCTGTTCATGGGTTGGACTCGAGGTTAATTCCACACAGAGAAACACAGTACAGTATGAAAGGGAGAATGGAAGAAGGAGTAGCTACGGAGGGCTGTCAGGTTTTCAGACAATGCTCCCACCTGTGTTTTAGGTTATTTTTGTCACGTTGTGAGAACTGCTGAAAATGTAGAGATTGTCTTCTAGCGTCCATTCCTGAGTTACACAGCTGTTGGATCCTAATGGGTCCGGGATGCAGGCCCAAGGACTTCTACTCAATCCTGCTAAGGTATTCTAGTGTAACTAGAGTTTGAAATGGTTATGAACTAGTAACGTGTAAACCAAAACAATAAACTAAATGCTACTAGGAAAGGAAGTAACCAGTAGGAAATGTGTGAAAGTGAACCACAGAATTTAAGAATTTAAATGATTGTGATAGTTTCTCTGAGGTGCCGCCATTACCTTGTAATGTAAATGATCAAGGAAATAAATACGGTGGAGAGACAGGGCAGCGCTGTGCTTTTTACAGCAAATTTGATATTGGGCTAGACTAATAAAGCAAGTGGTTCCAAACGCAGATCTTTAATGCTATTTGAAATGCAGCGCATCCGGGTAAAACACTTCACCTGTTCTGCATCAGTAATAAACTGTTCTGAAGAGAGGAACAATACCAGAAAATTTCATTGAAAAATAGTATTTTTTAGTGGTCAGAATGTAGGTTATGAACTTGGAAACGGATCAGGGCTCTAGGAGCTAGTGGGTTCCTGCTCTTAAAGTAGTATTCGGTGTTGGGAGCGCAAGCTGACCGATCGTTGTCTGATCCGAAGAATGCCCCTTGCAACACTGCGATCAACGCAGCTTTGGCACTTCCTCGCTGGAAGTCAAGGACGTCAGAACTTGGAACACAACGGTCTGGATGCAATACTGTTTTTTACTTCACCACCGGTTTTAAAAATGATCAAAGCTGGATCTGTGTGCTTTGGAGAAATTTCAGCATCACAGCTAGAGTTAGGAACAAAAAAAAAGTATATATTCACTGCTGTAATAACGATAGTTGTAGAGCAAATGTCTGTTTTGAATTGCTCACGTTTTGCTTTCGTATTTGAACAGTTACTTTCCATGCTTGATCTCAGTTCGGAGGTGAACCTCGTAGAACATGAATGAAATGAAATCTTTAGAACGGATGTTAGAGTTCTTGGACACAGAAAAATTAAATTAAGTTAAATTTCTACATTTCTAAATTTTTCTAAAAATTAAATTAAGTTTCTACAAATGTCCAAATGTATAAATGTATAAATACATGGGTAGGTGAATAATTTTGGGAACGAGAGTGATTTTTTGCCTCTGTTAGTGACCTTTTATGATACTGTAAAGATTTCAAAGTTTATATATAATTTCAGTTATTCTGAATTTGCTAATTAAAGTACTGCAGCGCCAGGATATTTTATAGCATCAGATTTGTAAGATGTGGGATTTATTGTTTTAGTTGGGAAAGTCTAAACCATACCTGTGCTAAATGATGGCTTTGGTTAATAGGAAGGAGAAGTATTTGGTAAGTATACTTCAAATGGCTTGAGATAGTGAAACAGTAAGGTACGTGAGACATCTTGTCTCCCATTTGTTGACTCCTCCTTCAATTCTAGTAATGCTTGGAATACCAAACTTGTGAATTCAGGGAATTAAAAATCAGAGCAAAGTCGTCGCCTAGTAAACCAGACTATTTGGAACACTACTGCTTGTGTGGAATACTTTATAATTATGCAGAATTGGAACTGACTGTGCAGAATTAGATTATTTCCGTTGTTGAGGTAGTAGTTTAGGTGAAGAAAATTCTATGTGTTTCTGGAATCTAGATTTTCTTAAATTCAGGCCGAAATGCCTACTGTATGATTTCTGCTTGCAGTTCTGTCTCCCAGGATACAACCTTTACTTCTTACCTGTGAAATTATTTTTAACGAAGTTTAACTGTACGGCAAGGAATACAAACTCAATATTGAATTGGGGTTCTGAAGTGATTGGTTATGATAAATATAGATCAGATTCGCATTTAAGAATATTCTCATTTTTAATGTTCCTATATCAGACTGACTTTAGTGGTGTATGTGATTTTGCTTGATTCTGCTGTAGTAACGTAGAACACAACTGAAGTTTTTATGTTTCAGATGGTCTTGTTTAACGCTGTGTGTTGCCTAAACTGGCTTTGTTTGTATTTGCTTGCAGGATCGCACAAGGACTTTTGACATGCATTCACTGGAGAACTCGCTAATTGACATAATGAGAGCTGAAAATGATTCACTGAAAGGTAAATTTAGAAAGAGACTATTTCCTGCAGTAAATAATTGGGAAGACGTGCTAACTTAGAGTAAGAAACTTCAGTTTTGGTTAGGAGAAGTGAAGTGACGTTGTGCACCTAATGCATGTCAGTCAGCTCGGGCAGGCCTTTTTTTCAGTTGTCTCTAGATGAAGCTGTTGCAACACACGAGCACTTGAGTGTGTTTTGTCTTTATACAAAACAATGCGAAACACAAACATAAGCTGATCTTTTGTGTAAGTTGCCAGCGTTGTTTTTAATAGATACAATGTGTGCAGCCTGTAAAAATGATCAACTTCAGGAATCTTGAGCCCTGCTGAAGAAATAGTTCTTTCTGTCTTGGGGAAGAATGAGGTTAATCTATGTCATTTTGAGAAGAAGACTGAGTATTTCATCACAATTTTTTTTTTAGTTCTTTACCTTTCTTTTTGTTGCTGCCTTGAATTGCGGAATTCTTTGTACCTTTGGGAAAGGAAAAGGGAGGTTGAACTGATTTGCAGTTGGGATTTCTCTTTTTTTTTTTTTTTTTTTTTTTTTTTGGCAAAGGTAATATTTCTTTGAAAATACCTCAACTTACAAAGTATTCAAAGCACTGTCTACATATTTAATCTAAACCTGAATAGAAACTGCTTATGGTATACAATTCAGAAGTCTAGTTTCTTATTCTAGTTCTATATAATGAGTAATCTCTTTCAGTTTGATGGTTACTTGTATAAGTAAAAGTAGTCAAACTCTTACTTATGCTCATTATCTAAGCATTCAGTTTTGTTACCAGTCATGAGACCACTAAAAAAACAAACCTGCATTTGTCGTTTCTGAAAGCAAATTTCTTTCGATATCAAGGCTTGTGGTGTTAATGAAATCTGACTTTTTAATAGTGATTCTTGCCCAGGAGACCAACCTTTGATAAACTGGCAATAACTTGCATTTCTTGCATTCACCATGGTCTGAAATGCAGCTTGCCTTTCACATCCCCAGCACTGTGCAGCAATTCGGGGTGATGAGGAGCACCAAGAAGTACACTTTCTTATTGAAGTGACAAGGAGAGCTTGCTGTAGATAAAAGTAATGCCAAATGAATGAAACAACCAAAATACATTCCCTCCTTATGCAGTGGGGGCCAGGCTTTTATTAATGACAAGTAGTAATAGCTTTCATTTGTTTTCTGTGCTGTCTGGCAACATCCTATGCCCCCAGCGGTGTATACCGAACCAAGAATCGGGGGCCCTTCCTTGACGGCAGCACCTGGGGTTTGCCCTGGCGCCTTCTGTTCAACTGCCAGGCAGGCCCAGCCCAGCTTTTAGCTGCTGAAATCTGGCAAGATAACAACCCAAGGTGACGCAGCTGTAGAACAAATAAAATTTCCCTTTAAATTTGAATTTAACAAAGTCAGGTTCACGTGCATTCACATGTGTTCAGCAACTAAACAAGGGTAGCTCTCTATAGTAGTATGAATTTTAGCTTAAAAGCTTTGAAAAGATTCTTTGCAATTGAAATATTTTTTTTGAGTGCTTACCATGTTTTAAGAATGATGGAATAAGTGTGTCAGCAAAGAATACGTGTAGTTCTGAGGCACGTTAATTCCTGCTTGAGCTTGGTTGTTAATCCCCTCTGCAGTCATTTACGGTTTGTCTGAAGTTTTGTGTGCCTTGTATCATACTGATGGGAACACAGTAATATCAATCTGGTATCGTTCTGGGAATGGTTTCTGAAATTCTTTATAAATTGTTCTGTTACATGGTTAGTAGTTATAAAACTATAAAGAAAAAGCCTCAAAACTGAGGTGAAAAATTTAAGTGAACCTACGTGAAATACTTTGTTGTGAAGCCTCATTTTTCAAGGATTTCCTCAGCAAAACCATTGTTTGCTTATAGTGAAATATGCAGTACGCTGCATTTGACTGCTGCTTATCTGGCATAGCAGGCTTAATACAGTAACTTATTTGCTGTGATATACTTAGGAATGGCTCTTTATTCCACCTAGCATCTGCTGCGTTGTGGTAATGCTGCAGTGATCGTCCGTAAGTAGGGCGGGATTTGTAAGGAGAGGAAATACCTTTAGTTAAACCAACTGATGCAGCTGGAAAAAAATTGTAACTTGCTGGTACAAAACATATTTCCAGTCGAGTCTGAAGAAGGGCTCATGTGATCACAAGCCTTTTGTGGGGTTTTTCCATCTGTATTTGTTGGTGTATGATTACGTCTTAACACAGATTCTGTCTCCTGTTTTCACTTCTCTTGCCTCACCTTTATTTAAACTGGTTGAAAGGAATCTTTAGAAACTTTGGATCTAGAAATCTTAACATATGTCACATTATGGTTGGCAGTTCAAATCTTGCTTGCCGTTTCAAACACCTGCAGTTAAATAAGCAGATCCGTAAGAAGTTTTTCATTTGGCATTTTAAATGGATTAATCAGTGCATACAGTGCTTGTAAACTAAAGTTGGATACTCTCAGAAAGGAAAAGCTTCTGGGTTTGAGACTTTAAAAATAGCCCGGGCAAGACACTAATAAAACATACTGTAGAGAGCAATCTCAGAATGGCATGGAAATAATTTAGATGATCTAATAGGTCTCACTGCTATCTTGTGAGTCTTTGAGAGGCTTTAATATTGACTCAACATGAGTTGAGTATGTAACGCTACCACCACCCCCTTTATACTGTAACCTACTTCAAGAAAAAGAGGTACTATGTCAAAACACACCTTCAAAACAACCTAGAGAGTATGGGCATGATAACAGGTACCAGTCACAGCTGTCGCTCAGAAAGAATTTCTGTCTTTAAACAGTATGCTCAGAGCAGCAGGTTTTGGATCCTGGAATAAAATTATAAGTAGGAATTCTTCAAAATTTAACAAAATCCATTCACAGCGTGTACTTCTTGTCCGAGGTGATTAGGCTGTGCTAGCCTTGGATTAGGTTAGGACAGTAATAATTATGTTCTTGGGTTGTCTTGCTGTGTGAAATAAATAGGGTTCCCTGCTTCAGGTTCAAAGGTGAATCTTGAGTATCATTGATTCGGTACATTCAGTATTACCTTTTAAGACTTTTGATAGGCATTTTACCATTTTCCCCCCTCTTTTTAAGGTATATTTTTATCCCTGCTCAAATCCCCTTCCTTTGCTGAGCAGCTGCCATTTCAATATGTTATTTTTATCCACACGAGTGAGTGTGCGGCGTGCTGCAGAGCCAATGACAGCCTGCAGAAGCCTCTCCCTGGAGACTAATTGCATCTTCTTTACAATGTATTCGGCCTTCATAAGCTGAGCCTGGGATCCAGAGACCAATTTTTGAATCTGGGTCTTCCAGATGGCAATTTGAGCATTACTGTAATAGTAGTAGATTGACTAAATATTTCCTTGTTAAGTGACACTGAAATGTCTTTAAATACTTTATAACCTCAGACTATTTTATTACTGAAATATCCTATGGTTCAGTTCAGGATATAAGGTTATTGCCTGGAAATTATGCAAGGTGAAATGGATTAAAGAAGCAGGCTAGTACATCTGCTTCTCGCTCTGCGAAGCGCTCCTGTAAAAGTTGGGCGTGAATAGCTCAGGATCCGCGTGAGCGCTAGGAGTGTGAAATAGTCTGTAAAGACTAAAGATACTTAGGCACAAAAAGGAAGGTTTTAGAAGTAGCGTAAGGCCAGAGTATACATACAGACACTGGGAGAGAGAGTCGAACAGCAGCTCTAAATGTTAGAGATGAGAAAGCCAGAATGATGAGGACTGGCACCGTTCAGGATTTCTCTGAGCAAGCGGATACACCTAACTATTTTTAAAGCAATCATCAGCCCCTTAATAGCTGAAAACCTATTTCAGATATGAAGAAAGTAGGTAAACCTTATAAAGTGTTCTTTGATGAAAGGGATCAGAATAGTTTTGGCAGCATTTTATGAATATCGGATAAGAAACTGAACTTATTTTCCAGCTGTATGGATTATGCCACACGTTCACATTAATGGAGTGGAATGGGCCATTTGGGTTCCTACCTGATCCAGAAAATGAATGAGAATCTGGTGAGAATCAGGCCCAATTTTTGCCAAGGGCTAAATAACAAAGGCTACGATTCTTTTGGGGGAAGTGCTCCTTTATATATGCACAGGGCAGCTTCTGAGCTATTTTAAAATGTAAAATAATAGATTTTTAGGTTTTTTCTTAAATTTTAAAACCATCTTTGTTTTCGTAGCAGTGAGGAATGCTTTGAGGCTGGTGGCTAAGATCAGCCTTTCTTCCCTGCTCTTGTTCTCTGCGAAGAAGACTTCTGAGAGCAGCAGCCGTGATTGATCTCGTCCGTGTGCCTTGTCTCAGAGCAATCTTGTCGAAGGATTACTCATTTGCAACTTTTAATGTATCCGACATAGGATGAAATGCGCAAAAACTTCTGCTTCTGCCTCACCAGGCTGTAGACAATTTTTTGTAGGCATTTATGGTTTGCTGTAATTGTCTTTGGAAACTTTGGAAAAATTGTTGATGAATTACTGTGTTGAATGTTTCCTACTCAGGATCTTCTTGCATTTTACCTCCTATGCGATAACCAGGAAAGGCTAACAGGATTTGCAGGCTTGAGTGCATATTAATTAAGAGGAAAACCAATTGTTTTATTATCTCAGAATATTGCTGAGCTGGGTCTAATAGCAGTAAACTACAACCCATGCTGATGGAGCTGTGATGGGGCAACAGAGTCTGTGGGAACGTTATTTGCAATCGGCAGCTCCCATTCCTGTTGCAATCCACGACTTTCAGCTGGCCTAGAGTAGAAGCGTTGTAACTGCTGTTACCGCGTAAGGGCATGCTTTCTTTCCAAATGCAGCTAATATTCAAAATTTTGGGGCATTATTCAATATTTTTTAGTCTTTTGGTATGCTTTTCCCCCCCTGTTCCTCTCTTGGCAATTGAAGTGTTTGTTGATTTATCCCTGCCTTTCAATATTTGGGGTTTACTAGAGCCTTTATTTATAAACAGCCAACAATCTCATAATAAACTGAAAT